GCTGTCTGGGAGGCACATGAAAATGTGGGGCTGGAGTGCAGAGGAGTGGTCAGGATTTAAAACAGAGCCAGGGTTGGTAACAGGAACGTGAGAATAGAAGAGAACATCAAAGGGAAGAGAAGGGAGGAACTCTGAGGACAGGGTGTGGAGAGTAAGGAGAGACAGAGAAGGAGGCAGGAGGCACTATGAAGGGCGAGAAGAGAGTGAAAGTGAGAGAGGCATTTCAGAGGAGGCAGAGGTCAAGGGTCACACTGGAGCGTGGGCTGGTTTGGTGACCATTTCAAGAGCTCCTTTAGAAAAGCACAGGGTTAGGGCCAGCCCGGTGGCTTAGCGCTCACAGCTGCTGGCGGCCCGGGATCGGATCCCAGGCGCGCACCGACGTACCACTTCTCCGGCTATGCTGAGGCCGCGTCCCACATACAGCAACTAGAAGGATGTGCAACTATGACATACAACTATCTACTGGGGCTTTGGAGGAAAAAATAAATAAATAAATAAATAATTGAAAAAAAAAAGAGAGAGAAGCACAGGGTTAGAAACTGCCATGCAAAGGCCTCAGGGGTGAGTGCGTTAAGGAGAGATGGCTAGGGGAGGTCATTCTTTCAGGGACTTCCTGATGAGGGAGAGAACAATAGATTAAGGTGTGGAGCAGGGATTTTAGTAGGCTATGGAGCAGGAAGAGGTGTCTTATCAGGCTGTGGAGAATTGAGTCTATTTGTGGAAAAAGGTGAGGAGAGGGAAAAATTACAGATGTAAGCTGTTGTGGTAGATGGCTAATGGATGGTCCAAGGCCCACCCATGCAAACACATAGATATGGCACACCCTACCTAGAATGCAGCCAATGCTTTGCCTCCACTGGAGCCTCAGCACTCCCATGCCCACTGCCTCTGTCCACCCCTGGAGCCTTGAGCCATCTGCTAGGGGGTGGGCTCCTAAGTCAGTGGGCATGACAGCAGTGCAGAGACAGTATGGCCTCTGACGTGGCAAGGGGGCAGCTGGCATTGTTGGGTCTTGTCAGTGAAAGTGCAGGGGCAGCTCTAAGGAGGATGGCACAGGCGTCCACAGAACAGGAGTCAGGGGACTGTCTCACAGCAGTGGGCCCAGGCCACATCACACCAGACAATTGGACGCAAGCCATAGAGGGTGTGCAAGCATGAGCACAGGCAGGTCTTGGGAGAGATAGTAGGTCAATACTCCTCTCTCAACCTGCTGATTAAACTGCCAGCTCTGAGCCTTGCCCGGACCACCCTGTGTTAAAGGAAGCCTGGTAAAGTGAGGCTGCTCTGCATGCTCTGCGCCTGATGGCTCTCTCCTACTCCTTCCCTATTTGATGGGGGCTCTAGAGTGAGGCTACCTTTTTCCCTCCATTTCTTCTTCTGTCTCATGCAGAGACTCATCCCTAAGTATGAATCACAGACAGAGCTTTCAGGAAACACAGTGCTGTCCTTGGCAAAGCAAGAGATTCGGGGATTCCAGGACCAGATATGTACATGATGGAGGGACCCTGCCTGTCCACAGGCCCTCGCAGCCCTCCCAACATATAAACTTGACTTAACATTAACTGGGATGTAGACGAGTGTACATTGCCAAAAAGAAGGACAGAAAGCACCCCACCCCCACACCACACACATGGTGCTCTAGGAGACATCTTACCAGCGGCAGTCAGTCCACGGCGTGGGGCCTCCTCTTTGGTGAGGAGTTGCTGGGTGCAGCATGAGGCCCAGCACTGTCTAAATTCTGGGCAGGCTATTCATGTATCTGTGTGTTGCATGGGTGGGTGGGTGGATGTCAGAGCTAGAGTAATTTTTGTGGAAAAAGTAGGATTTTGGAGAAAGCCTAGACCTCTTCCCTCTGTACCCATAACTCCTTTCTGTCCTCTTTCCTCCTAACACTCCAAAATCATATATACTTCACCATGAACTTTTATTTTATTTTTTTCTATATTTCATTCACCATGTATTAAGTATCAATGTCCACAGTCAACAGATTAGGAAGCATGCCAACCAAATGAGCCAGAGCCACACAGCCAGTGAATGGTGGACCCAGGGCTTGAACAGGGCTGTGGTTCCAAGTCAAGTGCTCTTCACCCTACATCCTCTCTAGCTTCCCCTTTCTAGGTGGAGCTTGGCTCCCAGTAGGGCCAGGGTGGTATGATGACATCTTCAGAACTTCAACATTCAGGAACTTGACGTAAGACTCCAATGGAACCAGCAAATCATTCTGAGTGTCCTGGCCCACACCACAAGGGAGGATCACTGCTCTGCTCCTGGGTCCCCATGCTGCTCCCTACTTGTTGGCAGTGTGGCCAAAGTACTGGGTTATGGTGTCTGGGATGTCACTCCTCTCCAAGCAGGCCTGCTGCAGAGGTCTAGGACAGGGATGGCTGCTGTATTCTGACATTCAGGAATGGCTCCTTCATTATGATGCCATTTTGCTACTATACAATGTATTGTTGGAAGGAGTGGAGGAGCTGACTCTAGGCTGGGCCTCCAAGGATAAACTCTCAGATCCATACCACCCAACTGTCTTCCCAAGAGAACCTCTGCCACATCCTCAAAGATGAGGAAGGCCACTTTCAAGGTATGGTGCAGGGATCAGGAGGCTGCCACCATCCCTGCTGCCACCCCCACCACCACAATTGCCTCTTAATACCCGTGAACCAGGTGACCCGACACTGCAATGCTGTTGCCATAGAGAAGCCACTGCCCACCCCAACTGCTCCTAACCCAAGTTTCTACGACCTTGCTAGGCAGCAGAAAACATCAAAACAGCAGGAAGGTGGCCTCTATCTCCATCCCACCTTCCAGATCTCCTTAGTTCATCTAATTGGCAGAATATAATTCATATCTAGACTCCTAGCTGCAAGGGAGTCTGAGAAATGGGATTTAAAATTTTCTGGCCACTGCAGTACAAGAAGGAGTTTAAGATAGATGCTGAGTGCCAAACCACCATATCTACCATATATGGGGAGAAAAAGTATTGAATACTTATAATAAACATTCCAAAGATTTTCTAAATGGTTCTGGTTTAACATTTATTTAATGAAATAAAAAAAAATTTTATTTCTCTGAAGATTATGGGCATGTTCACATTTGCCAAGAGTCCTCTTAACTAACCAAAGGGTGACTTCTCTCCACCAATATCACTATTGCAAACTTCAGAAGGTTTCTTATCCATTGGGAGATTATATTCTAAAAAGAATGATTCAGTTTCATTCTTCTCATTTTTTAAATTACAGAAATAATACCAATGTTATTTGAAAAATATAGTAAAAATAGTTACCTATAATCCTACGTCACTGTCATAATGACCGCTTCACTCTTTCCATGTGCATATTTACATCTTGTGAAAGTAATGTTTAGAGAATTTTGTTTTGTTTTTTCACCTAACGTTGCATCATTGTCATTCCCCATATTGTTGCATAATATAACCACAAGTTTTAGTGGCCCCATAGTATTTCACTAATACATGTGTCATAATTTACTTAGCCATTCCTCTCTAGTTGAACATTTAGGTTGTTTCCAATGACTTATTACTATAAATAATGCTTTGAAGAAGAGCTTCGTGCATATTCAGACTTTTGTGTCACATTCTCAGAAGTGGGACAATGGGTTAATATGCACTGGTTAAAGGGTATCCATTTTTAAATGAATATCAACAGCTTTTGTTCAACATTTCTTAAAAATCACTTGTGGCAAAAGCAGGGAAATTTTTCTCTAGCAATCGCTAAACACAGAGCTTGTTTTTATCTGTCACATCCTTGGCACTCATCTTGGGAGCTACTATTGGCAGCTACCAAAAATGGGGAAATGGTACCCTTGGCCTTGAAGCCTCTATTGGCAGTGCTCACATCGCTGTATTTCAGATCCCTGAGAGCTGCGTGGGTTCCTGTGACCTGAACCTTGGGCCCAGGGTGAGGGCAAAGAACGGGTGCAGCATCTTCTCCCCCACCCTTTCATATCTCAAGGCCCAGCTTTCTTTACCAGAAGCATTCTCTGGATAAGGTGTCTGGTGCGGTAGAAGATGATCAGCTAGACCCAAGTCTTCAGCCCCAGACGTGCACACTGAGATGTGCAGATGCCATGCTTTCATGGAGACTTCCATAAACAGACAGGTCACTCCCCTACTTTTTGATTCCTCCTGCTTCTCCCAGATGGGGCAAGGCAATAGTATCTGGGTTAAAATAAAGCAGCCTGGGTTACACTTTATTTAAGAAGCTAGCTTGGGATGAACTTAAGAATCCTTTCGTGGGACCAGGCCTCTAAAGATCTTGCGGCATATCAGCCCGCGGGGCATGCACTGGAGGTGCCCACTCAAAGGGCTCTATCCTGCTTACTGCTTACTGTCTTCGTCAGTCCAGGGCAGAGTGGATTTGGCCTCTTTGTGAGAATAAGAGGAGGAACAAATTTAGCTCTATTACGCGTTTGCAGTGAGGGAAAAAAATTTCGAATAAATGGGTGTTCTCCCCAACAAAGCAGCCTCATGCAAGACCTTGAGTTTTAACTGTTCCCTTTACGGCAATGCCCTCGTGTTGCACCGTGTCCTCAATTCTAGAACTCCACTCCAACCCCACATGCGCCCCCACCGCCTCATCCAGCCACCATAACTGCTCCATAAACGACGTTCGCAGAATCTTCCTCCCCTTCCAGGCCATAGGAATGCCAAAGATTGCTGAGCAATACTGTTTGCAAAACCCCGAACTCTGGGGGCAGATTTTCCCTGAGCCGCTGCTCCTGATCGCCCTTAGGCTCTAAGCATATCCCCCCTGCGGCCCGACTGACCCTCCCCAGTGACCGGTCCCCTGCCTACCCCAACCGAGGCAGCACCACCCTCAAGGTAGTACAACTTTCCGGGACACCCCAACGTCTCCTCTCGCCCCCATCCGGTTGCTTGGAAATTGCACTGGCCCGTGACGTCACACACGGAGGCGGGTCCCCACTGTCCCGCACACCAATGGTGCGGCCGCGGCCGGCCTCTTCATTTCCAGTGATTGGTGTCTGGGCCCCCTCTGCTCCACCCCAGCCCGCCATGGCGTCAGGCGCCGCGGCACCAGGGAGGTGGTTCCCACTTTAAGTGAAGTTTTTCGTCCCCTCCCCCTCCCTGCCCACCTCCTGCAGCCTCCCGCGCCCCGCGGAGCTGGCGGATGGAGCTACGCTGCGGCGGCGTAGGGAGCCAGGCTGTGGGGCGCAGGATGGATGGGGACAGCCGAGATGGCGGCGGCAGCTGCAAGGACGCCGGGTCGGAGGACTATGAGAACCTGCCGACCAGCGCCTCCTTATCCACCCACATGACAGCCGGAGCGATGGCCGGGATCTTGGAGCACTCGATTATGTACCCGGTAGACTCAGTGAAGGTGAGGCAGGAGGAGACTTTAGGGACGGAGCGAGCAGAGAGGAGAGCGCGCGCGCGCGTGCGTTTGCATCCCGGGCAAGAGCAGCCTGGGGCAGCGCCCCGAAACCACGCTTTCCTCGGGGCTGCGGCAGGCGTGGGGCGCGGCGCCCCAGTTCTGTCCAGGATCTGGCGCGCGCAACCGGGGCGTCGGGGATCGCGCCACGCCGCCCCTTCCGCCGCGCGCCTGGGCTGCGGGGGCGCCCTCCGAGCCCACGAGGGTGCCCCAGCCGGCGCTCCGCACCGCCGCTCCCACCGAGTTCCTGGGCCGGGCTGCTGGCGGCGCTGCGGCCGGGGAGAAGTGGCGAGCGCTGCTGGCCTCGGTGACGGCGGCGGGGTTCCAGAGGGAGGCGATCGGTGCCGCTTTGCACAGTCTTACCGCGTCTACCCTCGCGATCCGAGGATTTTGGGGTCCCAGTTCGTCGCGGCTCCTGCTGGCGCGCAGGGTGTTCGAGCCGCGGCGAGACGCGTCCGCCGGCTGGTGTGGGGTGGCAGAGGTTGCCCACACGTGCGCCGTTCCCGAGGGAGCTCGCCGCCGGGAAGCGCTAACCACGCTCGCGCTGAGAAACGTGGCCCCGCCGGCCGCGCGCCCTCGGGCCCTGGCGTGTGGCTTCTGCTCTCCGGGTGTTTGCGGGGCGTGGGAGTGGTAGGGCTTCTCTTGTCAGCTCTCTTGGGGGTACCGGTTCAGCGACGCCCTCTGCCATCCCCTTTTCTCAGGGTTTCTGCACCTCCTCCCTTGGAGTTCGGGCAGCTGAGCAGCTGAGAGGCTTCGAGACCGGCAGTGACATTTGCCTTCTCTTTTGTTGTAGGGAGGCAGACAGGGAGAGGTGGTGCTCTACAGCCCTGACTGAGGGGCCTGTAATACACTCACTTTGCCCTGCGCTTCCCCAGGGAGTTTCCAGTGCATTTCTGTAAGGAGCCAGCTTTAGCCAGGTAGGTTTTGCTGGAGCTTCCCTCTGTCAGCCTGTTCAGGACAGCGAAGGGCCAGAGGGTAGAGCGATGCAGGGAAGTGCTGTGGGTGCTGACACATCTCTCTTCTGTAGGCGTAACTCAGCTAATTCATACAGCCTCTCTGCGGAGTAACAGGTGAGGAAACTGAGGCACAGAGAGCTGAACGGGTTAGACTGCTGAGGCTCGTGCTTCTCCTGTACCCCAGACTCCAGCCCCAGTGTGCTTTGGGAGGTTGGGGGCCTCTCTAGGCAGGGCCCACAGAGCTCCCCCACCAGCAGCTGTATCTCGTTGCTGATGCTGGCCCTGCACGAGCAGTGTGAAGGCCAGACTGTCTAACGCAGAGGGTTTTCCCTGCCCTGGGCAGCTCTCAGAGCTGGCAGTCAGTGGCTGCAGGGGCACAAGTCCAGTGAGAGAAAGTGGGGCCTTTGCAGTAAGGTAAAGCCCGAGTCTTTGTTTGTGCTGCTAGGCTGGCACCATCATCACCCCTTCTGTCCCTCCAGCATCCCAGTGGGAATTAGATGAATGGTCCTTGCCTGCCAGGGTTCTGGAGGGCATGGGAGAGATCTCATCTCTTAGGTTTTCAAGGCTCCTCCAGGAAAGACCCTGGACAGATACCAGGTGGCATCTGTAGAGGTAAGAATCCCTCAGGTGTAATAAAATTCCCCGTGTTTGAAGCTGCTGTCTCAAGTCCCTCAGACAGACTGGGGAAAGTTAGGAGCAGGGAGATGTCATTTGAGCAGGCACCGGGCCCACTGGGTGGCAGAGATGAATGTTCCATCAAGGAACTGCTATATACCACTTCTGAGGCCCTGGCCTTCTTTGCTGTGAGTTTGGTTCAGAGCTTGTCTTTAGGATTACAAATAATTAGTCATGCCTTTCGAGCTCCCTGTGACACTCTAGAGAGGCATTCATCTCACGTGTTTAAACTGTGTAATCTGTGTAGTTTCCTCCCGCCCCTGGTTATTGGTGTGTTTTGGTGCAGACGTCACTGTAGACTTAGTATTCCTCTCCGTAGCAGCTGTCACCTGTGGACAGGTTAGCAGGGCGTGTGTGGTAGGAGGAGCTGGTCCGGCTGTCCTAAACAAGTCACTCACTCTATGGGGCCTGACTGTAAAATGAAGGCTTGGGTTAGCTAACCAGTAAGGCCTTCTAAGTTCTGGGATTCTAACTCTGACCCCGAATAACGACCCTTAGGAATTCTTCTGTTTTTGAGCGTGCAGGTTTGGTTTTAAAGCACCTCTGCTTTTTTACTCCTACTTTCATGGAAGGAGTAGCAAGGATTATTCTTTTCATTTTTCAGCTGAGACAACAGGCATAGAGAGAGGTAAGTGGTGTGAGCCCCGTTAAATGACCCCGGGGAGGCTGTAGCAGAGTGCCAGGGTCAGTTGTCTGTACCCAGATATCAGGGATGCATCCATGCTTCAGGTGTGGAAATGCTTCACTTGGGGAGACCTCACTGTGTTCTTTGTAAATATTTTGGATGATAGTGATTGTGAGTAATGGAGTCCGGAGTCCTGGATTGGGTTTCAAGCCCCCCTCCCCCCAACTTGCTTCATGCCTTAGGCACTGTTCTGTGCCTTAGTTGTGTCACTGTAAAACGGGGCTGTGGACCGGTTCGGTATTTCTCCCCATTTTTAACCTGTCCCTCTTTCTGTGAACACAGAACATCCGTTGTCTTCTTCTATGTTACTTGAAATTTCAAATAATTATTACAACTGAAGCCAAATAATGTAAATCATATCCTGTAAGAAAAAAAAATTTTCTTTGATTTTATAAGGCACACATTTTTAACTTTGATCTTGTGAAGTTAAATGGGAGTGTGGGGTCGGCCTGCTTTTTCCAGTTTTTCTGTCCTAGATAGTGTGGACCAGGGAGCTCAGGGCTGGGTGCTTTCAACACTGAGCCTGACGAGCCGCTTGGTTTTGTGGTGATAAGTGCAGGAAGCTAGCCTTGCTAACAAAATACATGTTTACTAAATACGCTTTCCAATGAAGTCCCATGCCACCTCCCCAATGTCACTTTAATGACTTGCGTTTTTCAAACTATGGGTTGTGACCTGATCCCACTGATCAGTGTTTTAAAAAAGACGGATTGGTGAGAATGCAAAATACAAGTGTGCATGGCATGCAGTAAGAAGAAGTGTTGCTCCATGAAATTCTGTTTGGGTTTTGTGTGTATGTGTGTTCCCTGAGTGGCTGTGTAAATGCACTTCTGGCTGGGGCTCATGGCCAAAAAAGTATGGGAACCACTGAACCTAATGATCACCAGTGGCCTCGAGCTCCAGCAATCAACAGCCTGCGATTGTTAAATGGGTGTGTGAAGGCCTTTGGCAACTCTCCTGCTCCTTCGTCTGGTCCTCTTTTAGTCTCACGGTGGTAAGATCTGAGTGCTCACTAACCTGTAAAGGGCCACGTGCTGGGAGCCTCGGCTGCAGGCTTTCTCCATCAGTTCTGAGCCTCCGTGGTTGTACCAAGGGAAGGAGCAATTGGTAGCGATTACTTATTCCTTTCCACCTGGGGCTGTGCAGCAGGCTTTCCACGGGCCTCTTCCTGGTCCTCCAAGCGGCGAGTGGTGTGGTCGCCTAGACCAGCACTGGGGGTGGGTGTGAGAACCCCTGGTCGGGAGTGCTCAAGACTGTGGGGAGAATGCCAGGTGGGTGGAGGAGGAAATTCCAACTAGATTAGGCACACCACTCGGAGACCATGCTGAGTCCCGTGGTGGTGAAAGCAGGAGCAAAAGGAAACAGGAAAGATTTGAAGCGAGGGAACTTCCGCTGACCCTTTCACAGCCCTTCTCTTGCTCTGCTTGTGGGGAAATGCTGTCCTTTAACTCTGCTAGGAGAAGCCCTCCCTCCCGGCCAGAGTGGGAAGGAATGGCAGGCACCACCGTGCAGACGGACAGCCGAGCTTGGCCTTCTCTCTGGGCGCTGGTGGCTGCTGAGCCAGCTGGAAGCCTCGGGGTGGCCGTGGGGCTTTCCGTGGCTGGCCCTGCGGAGCTCTGAGCAGCCGGGAGCCAGGCAGGTGCCAGGGCGGCCCGGCTTTCCTCCTCCTGAGTTTGCTCCTCGTGGTCCCAGCAGTGCAGGCTGACTGGTAGGAAGGGTGCTGGGGGTGGGGGTGGGGGGTGAAGGCAGCTGCGGGAGTCCCCTCCCACCCACTTCAGCGCTTTGAAAACAAAGTACAGTACAGTTGATGCCATTCAGCTTCAAAAGGGCGTGAAATCCCAAATTGCTCTAGTTCCTGCAACAAAATTATAGTGATTTTCTGTCTCCCTTCCCCTGTCTTGTCTCCTTCAGATCCCTCCTCCCTTCTTTTCTGTCCTTCTTCAGTGGGAGGTGCTTCTCTAAAAGGTGGATTTGGGAGGGGCGTGGAGTCAAAAAAGGGGTGCTCTGGAACATCTGCCCTAGTCTCTGTTTCATGAACTCCCAGGCCCTGTGCTGATAGCCCTGGGCGGCGGAATCTGTGCCCCGCAGGCCTGCGGCTGGCGGGGTGGGGACAGGGATCTTACCCAGCCCAGAGTCAGCACTTGGCCCCCACATGGCCACTTCCCTGCCTGCCACTGGCCCCCTCTGCCCGGAAATGGGGGAGGGGTAGGCTGGAGCCCCAAGGACTGTAGTGGGCAGTAGGCGGCCTCAGCTCCTCAATAGGGGAGGCACTTGGGGCTTAATGTGGGATTTAACTGGGGGCGTTGTTTAAACCACGCAGAGGTGTCACGTGGGGCCGGGGGTGGGGGTGGGGGGTGTCACATGGAAGGGAGGGCTGTGCTGGGTGGAGCACGTGTCCCCAGCCTCTTCCTGGTTTCTCTCCGGGCACGTTTTAGCTCCCTGTGGCCGTCTCATTCACGAGGGCTTTTGTCCCATTGCTCTTTGGAGCAGTGACCCATCTCTGGACTTGAGTCCCACTTTCTCTTTTTGTTCAGCTTGGAGTCTTGACCCCTACCTTCAGGAGGGTGGCCTTTCCCTGACCCACTGGATGAACTGACCTGTGTAGAAGCCTCTGGCGGTCTCTCTGGAACCGC